AACATCGAGGTGGAGGTGTGGATGGAGGCAGTGCCGCATCCTGCCCGGGAGCAGAGCCTGTGCAGTGTGCTGTCAGGGCAGAGTCTCTCTGGGGACTCCCTGGGAGGCACTAGTGACAGGTACAGCACCGTGGGTGTCCCTGCAGAGTGAGAGGGACTGCGCAGCACTGAGGGGGGAGACCCTCGATCCAGAGCCCCCATCTGGGTTCCCACCTGCCGCTGACACAAAGATCCCATGCCCTCTTGTGGCAGAGCTGGTCACCCTCTGTGAGGCACCACCAACCCCATGACCTGGGTCCTGGCTATCCCCAGGCTGAGCGGGCACTGACCGTGCTCAGTGCTGCCTGCACCCTGCGCACAGCCCCATTCCACCCCTTCCCCAAGGGCAGTCTGAGCGTTGGCACTGCTGGGAAATAAAACTACTCTCTGAGGGTCTGTCTGTCTCCTGCGGCACAGCCACCCCCCGACAGCGCAGCCCCCGATCGCAGCAGGCTCTGGTTCCCCTGACAGGTACCGCAGGAGGCCACGCAGGCGGGGCAGGGTGGGCCCAGCCCCACGCAGGTGCGGGCAGTGGAGCAGGCAGGGGGGACAAGTAGGGTCAGGGAGTGGGGGAAGAGTGGGGATATTCCCTTGTGCAAACACTCCAGCAAACTGAACGCTGCAGGTGCGGGACCAGCACAGCGCACAGCTGGCAGGGTGGGATGTTGCTCAGAGCCTCAGCCTGCACCAGCAAACTGAGCAACCCGGGGAGGGGCTGAGCCCTGCCCCAGCTGGGCCAGCCCCTGGTGCGGTGTGTGGGTCCCGCGTGTCCCCAGCTACCTTCCTGGGGGCAGCACGTGGCTTCGGGCAGAGAGAGCTTGAGTGTGGTGCAGCACAGCTGCAAAAAAAAACAGGGCAGCCCCTGAGGGTGGGAGGCCATGCACTGTGGCGGGGCAGAGCTGGGGAGCACACAGGTCTCACTACGAAGACGTGTCTGTATATCTGCGTCCCTGCCCTGCTGCTGGCTGCTCTGGCAGTGTGTGAAAGGGTCCCGGGACTGTTGGAGAGGAGGGCTGTGCCCTGGGCCAGCTTTAGCATGTGGGGTGCCGCAGGACGGGGTCCTTGTGATGGGCACCCGCTCCAAAGCAGGAGAGAAAACTGCGCTGAAGGTCCCGTGGCTTCTCCCAGCTGCAGGAGGCACCAGCGGTGAGGCTGCCTGCAGTACCCGGGCTCTCGCAGCTCCTTCCCGCCCTGGTGGCACTGGGATTACAGGGCCCCACACAGCCCTGCACTCCTGTGTGGGGTAGCCCCTGGCAGGGGGCCAGGTTAGCCCCCTGGCCACCACCATAGCTATGGTGCTCCACATCCTCCATCGGCTTCTCTCCACACCCCGTGGGATGGTGGCACGGGGTTCAGGGCGTCCATTTCTACATGTGGATGAGGACAAGGCAGTGGCGGGCCACCTGGTGCCCCCACGCAGGTGGCCTCCCACCCAGGCAACCAGGCTGCCCCTGAGGAATGCCCTGGACAGGCTGCCCTTGTCCCTAAGCTTCTGGGGCCAAGCAGCTTGAGGTTGTGGGTCCTGATCCTCCCCAGGGATCCACCCTGCAGCCAGGCCAGCGTGGAGGGACCATGTGGTAATGCCACAGACTGTGGGTGGGCACCCTGAGCCAAATGGGGTGGCAGCTTAAGGCAAGCGGGCTCCTGCCTAT